AGGCGGATGTGGAGTACGAGCTCCGCTGTCTTCTCAACAAGCCAGGTGAGCATGCCCCCCCCCACCCCCGTACTCCTCTGGCACCTGCCTGGGGGCCTGTGACATTCACGAGTGGGCCCAGGTCTTACCCTACCGGCCCTGATGGGAACGCACAGGTAGGCTCTGGGAACAGGGCCCGAGGGGCGAGAGGGCCAGGAGGTGCAGTCTGGGTCCTAGCAGGTGATAAATAGGCTCGAGTGATGGCAGGAGAAGGAACAGCATGGCCAGTGTGGGGGTGTGGCCTCATGTGGCATCAGGGAAGACAGGCTCGCAGAGAGCACCAGGCCCAGGAGCAGGCTGGCCTATCTCCTGGGACTTGTGGGTAGACAGGTCCCCACTGGGGAGAGCCTTCAGGCTCCAGGGCCCAGGGCTGCCCCAGATGATCCCAATATGCCACTTGGGTTACATTGTTTCTATTGCATAAGGACCCCTGGGGTCCCCTGTTACCTCCCCAGCCCTGCCCTGCTCTGGCCAGCCCGCCCTTGGAGGCTCTCAGCAGGCCCAGCCTGAATCCTGCCTCCAAGAAACCATCTAGTGAACATTCGTTGAATGAATGAGCAAAAGCAGGAGCCCCTTTGGCAAGAGCTGGTCTCTGTTCTCAGAACATGTGTTCTCGCCGTCCCGGAGCCCCCTTGAGGGTTTTTTTGGTAGGCAGCCTAGTATCCTTGGTCTCTTCCTGAACAACCTTCATTTCCCCCAAAACTTGTCATCCCTCCCCAGGTGGGCCCTCCTTCCTGTCCTCACAGGATCCAGCATGTGGCTAGGCCGCAACCACCTCAGCACTTAGGCTTTGGTCCCTGGCTTCCTGGGAAGGCAGGAGGGCTTCCCCCCCACTCAGTTCCCCAACTTTTCTCCTTGGGCAGAAAAGGACTGGACAGAGGAGGACCGGGGCCGAGAGAAGGTGCTGATGCGGGAGCTCATGACCCTCATCGAGCAGCGCAACGCCATCGTCAACTGCCTGGATGAGGACCGGCAGAGGTGAGGTGGCTGGGGAGGGGGGGGGGTCCCTGCAGGAGGGGCCCAGAGCGGGCCAGGCCAGCTCTGCCCTCACAGCAAGCAATTTCAGCACACCCTCCCTCAACTTGTGGGAGGGACTCAGGCTGGAAGGGACTGAGAGAATATGTGTCCTTCTTCCTGTGGGACACTCGACTTCCCTTTCTCATTTTAGGGAGGAGGAGGAAGACAAGATGTTGGAAGCCATGATCAGGAGGAAAGGTGAGGCCCCTCCCAGGGCTCTGGTCCACCCGAACTGTGGGAGGGCAGGGGGCAGGTTGAACAGAGGGTCAGAGCGGGCGCTCCAGGGATGGTGTGTGCAAACTCTTAGCCTCTCTCTTGAAGGGAGGGCCATGTGTGCCGAGGCAGGCTAGCCTAGAGGCAGGAAGACTGTGGCCTGGGCTCAGAGGGTGGGCTACAGGGAGGGCTGGGGTGGGCAAGGAGCACCTTCCCAGGGCGGCTGCCTGAAGTCAGGAGTTCCTCCTTGATATCTGCAGCTGATCTTGGAGAAGTTTGTGGGCTAGGGGCGCCTGGGTGGCTCAGTCAGTTAAACCCCTGACTCTTGATTTCGGCTGTGGTCACGATCTCATGGTGGTGGATGGAGCCCTGCGTCTGGCTCTGTGCTTAGTGGGGATTCTCTCCCTCTGTCCCTCCTCTCACCTGGGTGCTTGCACATGCACTCTCTCTCTCTCAATAAATAAATCTTAAAAAAAAAAAAGAAGTTTGTGGGCTCAAACAGCCATGCCTACTGGAGATAAGATGGTGCCCGGAACAGCTAAAAGAGCACTGGCCTGGGAGTCAGGAGACCTGGTTTCATCTTGGTTCCACCAGTGACTCATTTTGTGGCCTTGTGGTTAGGTCTGGACTCTAGTCAGGCTGCTTGGCTTCCAGGCCCAGCTCTGGAACTTAACTATCTGGGTGACTTGGAGCCCGTCATTTCAGCCGTGCAGGCCTCCCCCTCCTCGGCTGCAGCATGGGGGTGCAGAGCGTTCCTGGGATGGTGCACAGAAAGCGCTTCGCCCTGGGCCTGGCGCCCATATAGAGCTCAGCGGGTGTTAGTCCATTTCAAAGGCCCACAGTTGCCTTGTGAAAACTGAGGGTGAGGCAGATGATTTTTGACGTTCCTTCTAGCTCTGTCAGTGTCCGTGTCATAAATCCATGCCATGCTTCCGAGTTCCAGATTGCTTCCATAGTTGTTTATTTCTGGATCCTTGCCAAATCACTGGGACAGGGGCACGGTCCCCGTCCTGCGGGCTCACAAAGGTGAAGTGACATGCCCAAGACTCCAGATGAGCTGGAGGAGAGGAGCTGGGCCTTCGTCACTGCCCCTGGCCCGCCCCGACGTACTCCCCCTTCCCCACGTGCTAAGCGCTCCCCTTTCTCTTCTGCAGAGTTCCAGAAGGAGGCTGAACCCGAGGGCAAGAAGAAGGGGAAGTTCAAGACCATGAAGGTGCTGAAGCTGCTAGGAAACAAGCGGGATACCAAGAGCAAGTCCCCAGGGGACAAGAGCTAACAGCGAGGGCAACCAGCTGGGACTTCCACCCCCCCGCTGGAGCACGCAGCCCTTGGGCTGTGCTCCGCTGGGGGGGCACCCTGCTTCCCTTCGGGATCAGTCCCGGGGAAAGATGACGTCACGGGAGGGGGCCTCTGGGTGACAGCCTCTCCCTCCTCAGGGTCCTCTGGCTGGTCTGGGCCAAAGAATTTTCTTCCCTCTTCTCGGGGCCGCACGCAGCTGTGGCTCAGCCCTGCCCGGTCTGGTTCTCATGACTCTAGATGCTGTGACTGACCCAAGGAGCAAGCAGGGCCCTGGGTCCAGGGAGCGGCGGGGGCTGAGCACCCCTGCCTTGCGTCCCACCCACCGCCTGCCGTGACGGGTAGCCCCTGGGTCCCTCTTCCCTTCTGTACCATGTCCAGATGGGATTGTTAGCTGGCAAAGTTCTGACCCGAAGTTCCTTCCACTCACGCGGTCTGCCCGTGGTGGACCTCTGGCCCGGGTCTCCTGCCTTCAGGGCTCTGCTGCTCTTGGCAGGCCGCGAGCCTGGCTTGGCCGCCCTGGCTTCTTCCCGCCCCAGCCCTGGCTCCGAGTCCCCGTTTTCCTTCCAGTGCAGGTGGCCCTGAATCTGTTTCTCCTCACGCAGGAGCTCTATTTATGAAGTCTAATTAGGTTTGAGCTTGTTACTGTGTCCTCAGACACAAATGGGCCTGATGGACAAATGCCTCCCTCTGTCCCTCAAAGCTCTAGGAGGTGCTTCTCTTGTCCCCCCTCATTCCATCGGAAACCTCAGCTCCCAGGAATGGGGGCTGGGTGGCCGTGCTGGGCTGGGTGGGTGCCCTAGAGCTGAGTCCCCAGGGAGGGCCTCTGGGAGACAGGCCCCAGGGGCAGTTCTGGTCCCCGAGCGTCAGCGGAGGGAGCTGTGCTTCATGGAGGTGCTAATCCTGGTTCCTTACCACGCTGTAGTCTGACCCCTCATTTAGACTTGCCCCCCGCCACCCCAGGGTCGGGGGATGGTGGGCCCGTCCCTGGGTATGGTCATCACCAGTCTGTCTTCTCACACTTGACTCTTGTCCGCTCTCTCCCGACCTGTCCCCCCGAAGGACTGATGGCCACTCACCCCTCTGATGGCCACGGGAGAGGAGGAGCCGACGGGGACATTTGCCTTTTCCCCAGGGAATGTGTCCAGCAGCCTCCGATCAAAGCCCTGTTGGTATAAGCTATCTCTGGGGTGCTCCAGGGCCCCCTCCCTCAGCACCCCTCTGGGGAGAGTACGCACTGTATTAACTCACGAGGATTTTCCTCACCAACAATAAATGGAGACCACCTCAGTTGCCAGTGCCCCGGAGCCTCGGGCGCTTTGCCCTCAGCCGGGTCCGCCTTCTTCCCTGCCTCCGCCGTGCCCCGTGGCCGGGCCGCTCTGGTCGCCCGGGAGAGGGCGAGTGGGGCTGTCCACGGCCAGGGGCCTTGGCCTTGGCCTCCAGGGCCTGCCAGCGGGCAGGACTCCTCCTCTGCCGGGAGGGGCAGCTCCCGCCCCTGCACAGCCCCTGGTGGTCTCCTTCCAAACATGCCCGTTGACCTGGAGCTGGTCACCAACCCCAAAGGCTTTCAGGGCCAGGCAGGTCACACACCTGACCAGGCCGGGTGTAACCTGAGGGGTGGCTCTGGCAGGCTGTCTTGTGTCTGGAGACTCAGGTAGCGGGGCCTGAGGTGAACTGGGGTGTCTGTGCCCCAACTCAAGGGGGAAGTTTTGTAAGTGTTGGCAACTAATCTGAATTTAAATCAAGGGTAGGCTGTGTTGTCACGGGTGGGCCCAAGGTGTCCTGGGCTTCTCCAGTCTGCTGCCTCGGAGCTACATGAGGGGGCCTTGGAGGTGGAGGAGAGCTGTCCTCACCACGGTGTAGCCTCTGCCCTCAGGTTCTGGAGGGTATGTGACACAGGCTTCCCATGGAAATGGCCCTGAACCAGCCCTTGATCTGGCCCCTTCCGCTTATCTGTTCGAGGCTGTGGGGCCATGTTTGCTCTGCAGCCCCAAACTCGGGTCATGTGGCCTGTAGGATTACACGAATCCCTCCAGGTGGGGAGTGTTGGTTGAATTTTCCAAACTGTTTTGATGTATGGGGATAGGGAAGTGAGAGACTCCTGGAGAGTGCAGGGCTCGTGGTTGCCAGAAGACATGGGGACTTCCGTGTGGTCCCAGGGCTGCCTCCCTAGCCCTCCGAGGCAGGGCCTCACCCGTGAGCAGTCGGAGCTGAGGCTGTGGTGCTGCTCAGCCTCCCAGGGCACAGGCTGGGATTGGAGCTCCAAAGCCACGCTCTTTTGGTCTAACTCTCTCCCACCTTTGTGTTTCTGTGGGCTGGGGGGTTCGTGGAAAGCCCGAGAACTAACTTTTAACCCTGAGTGGGCTCCTTGCCAGTTGAATGACCTTAGTGACAGTGTCTTGGGGAGCCTCAGGTTTCACACAGGGAGAGCGAACCGTCATCGGAGGGTTTTACTGAGAGAATGAACCAAGTGAAATTCAGCCCGACACAGTGCCCGGCCTTGGGGTGTTCAAGAAGTGTTGGTTCTCATTTCCACTTGAGATCTGCAAACAGCTAAAACACATCTGTGCTTGAAAAATTCTAACTCCTTGAACAAATAAGTCTATCCTTCTGAAAACAAAACAGTGTATGTAATGACCTACGTTAAATGTGTCTTACTGGCCAATTAATCATGTGGTTAAACATTTGCCTAAGGCTGTAAGAAGTCAAATAAGTAGGTCCTAAGGCAAGTAGGAAGGAAGGAATCGTATTCATTCCGAAGTTCTGAAAACATGTAGGACACACAGTGGGTGTTGGGGCGGGGGAGGAAGAGGCCCATTGGATGCCCTCGGACACACACCCAAAATGGTGAGATTGGGCCTTGCCTTCACTGTGTATGGGCTTTTCCCCCGAGAAAAGACTAGAAGTCGTGTGTGTGATTGTGTGTGTGTGTGGTGTGCGTGTCTGTGTCTGTGACTGTGGGTCTCAGCAGCTCAGCTGACCCAGGCTCCCTGGGCAGAGTCTTGAGGAGAACCAGCTCATTCCCTGAGATTGGCCCATTTTCTAGGGTGCCGTGTGTGCCCAGGGTCCCCTGAGCCAGGACAGTGCTGCATGACCATTTGATGTGACTGAAGGCCAGGGTAGGTGGGCTGACCGGGGGGTGACTCTGCTTGGCCAGGGGGTGGGCTCCAGTGGTCCAGGATGAGCTACTCTGCCCCTGTCTCTGGAGACAGATCAAGGGGTGGCAAGAGCCTTCCCAAGGTCCTCACTCCTCTTGCGGTCAATGTCTTCCATTTCCCGTAGCTTCTGCAAAAGGCATCAGGGAAAGCTGGGGATCAGGGAGGGAACTTGAGGAGCTGCTGCTGATGTGAGGCTAGAGTGGACTCCCAGACCTGGGCCGCAGCTGCCCTGTCCACTCAGTCTCTGCTGCGCACTCATGGCCGACCCTCCCCCAACCCCTTCCCTGTTGCTTCTCCTACCTGGGAGATCTCAGCAAGGATGATCCCTCGGTACTGTCTGCCCTGCCCCAGTGCCTCCATGCCAGCCAGGAATTCTTTCCTCTCCTGGATTTCCTTTACCACTAGACGGCGGGGGAGAAGGGCCGTCCGTGTACAGGGCAGTAGGGGGCCAGCAGGCTCCTGGGATGGGTGGTGGGGGCAACAGGTTGCCTCTCGTGGGGAGAGGAAGCAGTTCTGTGGCCAGTGTTTCTCACTCTGGCCGCAGGTTGTGGGCCCCTCCACACCCCCCACCCCAGCATAAGTGGCCCATCAGTGGCTTACATTCTTCAAAGCGGTCCGGCTCAGGGGCCGAGTCCTCCTGTTGCACCGGAGGGGGCTTTCTTTTCCGTTCCTCTGAGTCCTTCCCAGTGGCAAAAATATTTTGGAGTCTTCGCTTCTCCTTCTCCAGATCTCCTGTAGGGCCCAGAAACGGCCTCATTAAGGCAGGCAGGGCACCCCCTTCATCGCACGCTTGCTCCAGGGCCCCCGGGCCACACAGAGCGGGCTTCCGCAAACCGGGCGCCTTCTACCCTGGGCGCCCCTGAGCTTGTGTCAAGACAGGCAGGAAGGGGAAGGGCTGGGGGAATGGAAGTCAGAACCCACACGCGGCTCGGGTGCAGAGGGAGGCTAAGAAAACGTGACTGCCGTGATGGCAGCCTGGGTACCGAGGCTGCAGGGAGCTGTCGGCGGGTCGGGGCCACGAGTCACATCGGACGCCCAGTAGGGAGGGGGACAAAGGCTCCGTGGAGGAGGCTGGCATGCAGAGGAGCTCTGGATTGGAGCGACTGTGTGACCTTAAAAGAGCAGTGGCCGTGAGACCTGACAGCCAAACGCTCCTCAGGGACGGGTGGACTCCAGTTAATCATTACTGAGTTCTAAAAAAACAAAAAAGGATCACCTGACTGGTTTCCCCCGTACCCTGAACACCCCAAGCTAACAAGTGCCAAGGTTCAAGCACATGAGTATACACAGCATGAGAATTCACTGGCCCCCTCGGGGAGGGAGGGGGAATCGGGGCTCTCGGGGCCCTCTCACTTACGGGGGGCTTGAGGCCTGAATGGTTCCCGGCTGTAGGCCCCGCGGGCTTGGCACAAGCTGGCAGGCCGGAGGTGGGGCCGGGCCGCCAGGATGGGAGGCAGGTAGATGGCTGAGGCTGGCTGTTTGGAAGGCAAGACCCTCTGGCTGGATGTTGGGCTGCACCGTAGGGGCAGAGTGTCTCCTCCTGGGGCAGGAAGGTTCGGGTGAGGCGCGGTTGGGGGTGGGAAGCCACCTGGGTTGTGTTGTGTTTTGTTAATTTATAAGTGATACTGCCTTGCTACAACAAGTCAAAGAGTATAGAAGTCTTCCCTTCTGCCCTCTGATCCCCCACCCCCACCCCCACCCCACAACGAGCAATTGGTAGAATTTGGTGGTCTTGTTCCAGACTCTCTGATGTTAATACAAACATGTTCAAAGATATATGTGCGTATATGACCTTCGTGTTTCAAACACTGGATCATACTGTATTATATTCAGTAATAGACCCTTCACTTAACAATTTATCATGGACAACCTTCCAGATCACTCCATTTATATATAACTTATTTTTTATAGCTATATACTAGTTCTTAGAATGGACACATTATTTATTTTATTCAACTAGTCTCCTAATCTCAGAAATTCAAGCTGTTTCCTTCTTTTTTTTTTTTTTTTACTACTTCAAACAATGCTGCAATAAACATTCTTGTGCATCAAGCCTCTATACTGGTACTTTTATCTCTATAGATGGATTCCTAAAACCTGCTTGGTCCACAGGCAGGGAGGGATGGTTTGGATGGTAATACACACCAGTCCCTCTCAATCGCCCCAAAGCCCAGCTCAGAGCAGGCCCCACCCGTTATTTTGATCTGGTTTCCAACTACCTCTTCTACTTTTCCGATCTTGTATCATCCACTCAGCAAAGACATACTGAGCATCTGCTCTGTGCCAGGCCCCGGACACTGGGGGTAAAGTAGTAAAGTAAGACAAAGTCCTGCCCTCAGGGAACTTACATTTGGGGTTGGAGGGGTGTGCATGATGATTATGTAAAATACATAGATTGTGACAGTACAGGGATGGAACAGAGTATGTCAGAGCAGGATTTACAATTTGACATAGGATAGGCAGGGAAGGCCTCATGAAGAGGGTAAACTTGGAGAGAAGACCCCAAAGGTGAGGAGCTCTGCTGTGCAGATACTTTGGGGAAGAGCATCCCAGGCAGAAGGAACAGCTAGAGCAAAGGCTGTGAGGTGGTAATGTGCCTTGAGGGTCTGAGCAACAGCCAGGAGGCTAGGGTGCTGGGAATGGGGTGAGCAAGACGGGGGATAGTGGGAGTAGAAGTCAGAGGTCAGGGAGGGCAAGAGAAGTATAGGGCCTTGTAGGCCTCTGGAAAGACTGACTTTTACTTTGAGGTGGGAAGCCATCAGAGGGTTCTGAGCAGAGAAGTTACATGGTCCTTTGGCTGCTGAGGAAAATACAGTGTGGGGACCAAGGGCAGAGGTGGTCAGAGTCAGGATATGGTTTGAAGGGCAAGCCGACCCACGCAGATGGGTTGGATGTGGGGTCTGGGAGAAAGAGAGGAGTCAGGCACCTGGGTGGCTCAGATGGTTAAGTGTCTGCCTTCAGCTCAGGTCATGATCCCAGGGTCCTGGGATCGAGTCCCGCATCGGGCTCCTTGCTCAGCGGGGA